GTTCATGTCCTTTGCCCACTTTTTGATAGGGTTGTTTGATTTTTTCTTGTTGATTTTTCTGAGTTCTAAGTAGATTCTAATTATAAGCCCTTTATCGGATGTGTAGCGTGTGAAAATTTTCTCCCGTTCTGTAGGTTGTCTTTTTGCTCTTCTCTTAGTTTCCTTGGTTGTGCAGAAGATTTTTAATTTGACCCAGTTCCATTTATTTATTTTTGTTGTTGTTGTGATTGCCTTTGGGGTTTTCTTCATAAATTCTTTGCCTGGGCCAATGTCCATAAAAGTTTTTGCAACATTTTCTTCTAGAATTCTAATAGTTTCACACCTGAGGTTTAACTCTGTTACCCACCGTTAGTTGATTTTTGTGACAGGTGAAAGGTGTGGATCCTGTTTCAGTCTTCTGTATGTGGCTATCCAGTTTTCCTAGCACCATTTATTGAATAAGGATTCTTTTCCCCAGTCTATGTTTTTGTCTGCTTTGTCAAAGATTAGATGGCTATATAAGGATGGTTTTATATCTGGGTTCTAGTACTGCTCCACTGGTCGATGTCCCTGTTCTTGTGCCAGTATCAAGCTGTTTTCATTACTATAGCCTTCTGGTATAGTTTGAAGTCTGCTAAATTGATACCTCCCATTTTGTTTTTATTGTGTAGGATTTCTTTTGCTATACAGGGTCTTCTCTGGTTCCATATGAAGCATAAAATTATTTTTTCAATATCTGTGAAAAATGATGTTAGTATTTAAATAGGGATTGCATTGAATCCGTAGATCACTTTGGGTAGTATCGACATTTTAACAATGTTCATTCTGCTGACCCACGAGTATGGTATAGTTTTCCACCGGTTTACATCCTCTGCTATTTCCTTTTCAGTGTTTCATAGTTATCCCTGTAGAGGTCTTTTACCTCCTCAGTTAAATATATTCCTGGGTACTTTATTTTCTTTGCTGCTATTGTGAACGGTATTGACTCTTTGATTTGCTTCTGAGTTTGACTGTTATTGGTGTATATGAATGCTTCTGATTTTTGTGTATTTATTTTGTATCCTGAGACTTTTCCGAATTCATTTATGAATTCCAGGAGTCTCTTGGTTGAATACTTGGGGTTTTCCAGACATAATTCATATCATCAGCAAAGAATGAGAGGTTGATGTCTTCTGCCCCCATTTGGACGCCCTTAATTCTGCTCTGTTGTTTAATTGCTGTAACAAGGGCTTCCAGCGCTACGTTGAATAGAAGTGGAAATAGTGGGCAACCTTGCCTGGTTCCAGTTCTAAGTGGGAATGCTTTCAATTTTTCCCCATTCAGTATGATGCTGACTGTGGTTTGTCATATATGGCTTGTATCATTTTTAGGTAAGCCCCGTCTATGCCTATTTTGTTAAGCATTCTTATCATAAAAGGGTGTTGAATTTCATCAAATGCCTTTCCCGCATCGATTGAGAGTATTATATGGTTTTTGCTTTTGCTTCTGTTTATATGGCGAATTACATATATAGATTTGTGTATGTTGAACCATCCCTGCATCTCTGGAATGAAGCTCACTTGGTCATGATGGATTATTTTCTTACTAAGCACCTGGATTCGGTTAGCTAGAATTTTGTTGAGAATTTTTGCATCTACATTCATAAGGGATATTGGTCTGTAGTTTTCTTTTTTTGTTGCATTATTTCCTGGTTTTGGTATTACAGTTATGTTGGCTTCATAAAATGTGTTGGGGGGGATTCCATCCTTCTCAATGTTGAGGAATAATTTCTGCAGGATTGGAACAAGTTCTTCTTTGTAGGCGTGATAAAATTCGGGTGTGAAATCATCTTGTCCGCGACTTTTCTTTTTAGGAAGGCTTTTTTATTGCTGTTTCAATTTCAGTACTTGATATTGTTCTGTTCGGGAATTCTAATTCTTCCTGGTTGATCCTAGGGAGGCTGTGTGTTTCTAAAAATTTGTCCATTTCCTCCACATTTTCCAGTTTGTGTGCATAAAGGTTTTTGTTGTATTCATAGATGATATCTTGTATCTCTGTGGCATCAGTTGTAGTTTCTCCTTTTTCGTGCCTGACGGAGCTTACTAGAGATTTTTTTCCTGCTTTTCGTTAGTCTAGCCAAAGGCATGTCAATTTTATTTTTTCAAAGAACCAACTTTTTGTTGTATTAATCTTCCTTATAGTTTTCCTTTTGTCAATTTCATTTAGTTCTGATTTGATCTTATGAATTTCACTTCTTCTGCTGGGTTTCGGGTAGGCCTGTTCTTCTTTTTCCAGCTCTTTGAGTCAATTCATTAGGTTGTCTATTTGTGATCTTTCTGACTTTTGGATATGGGCATTTATGGAAATAAACTTTCCTCTTTTCTCTACCACATCCAAAAGAAAAAAAAAAAACCTTTCCTCTAAGAACTGCTTTAGCTGTGTCCCACAGGTTTTGGTAACTTGTGTCTCCTTTGTCATTTAGTTCAAGAATCTTTTGAGTTCCATCTTGATTTCCTCGTTTATGAAGTAATAGTTCAGCAGAAGGTTGTTCAGTTTCCATGACTTTCTTTAGAAATGAGAGTTTCTGTTAGCGTTGATTTCTACTCTTATTCCACTGCAGTCTGAGAAGATACATGGTATGATTTCTATTTTTTTAAATTTTTTGAGACATGCTTTGTATCCTAGGATATGGTCAATCTTAGAGAATGTTCCATGAACTGATGAGAAGAACAGATATTAAGTGGCTTTTGGGTAGAATGTCCTGTAAATGTCAGTCAGGCCCATTTGTTCTAGAGTTTTGTTTAAGTCCATTATTTCTTTGTTAATTTTCTGATTGGAGGATCTGTTCTGTGCTGTCAGCAGCTTGTTGAAGTCTCTGGCTATTATGGTGTTGCTGTTTATCAATTTGTTTAGATCAACAGCAACATACGTAACATAAACATCTGTACCCCCATAATATGCTGAAATAAAAGAAAAAGAAAAAAAAAGTAGAGTTTGCTTTATGAATCTGGGTGCACCTAAGTTGGGTGCATACATATTTAGAATTGTTATGTCTTCTTGTTGAACTGTAGCCTTCAGCATTATGTAGTGACCTTCTTTGTCTTTCATTACTTTTGTTGATTTAAAGACTAAGTTATGTGAAATCCAAACCGCCACTCCAGCCTTCTTTTGGCTTCCATTTGCTTGAAATATTGATTTCCACCCCTTTACCTTGAGTCTAAATGCATCCTTGCAGGTTAGATGTATTTCCTGAAGAGAGAAGATACTTGGCTTTTGTGTATTTATCCATTTGGCCAGCCTATGTCTCTTCAGTGGGGAGTTCAAGCCATTCACATTTATTGAGAGAACTGATAGGTGGGGCAAATTTCTGTTAATCATATTGGGTTCAACTTTGTTGTTTTGTTTTCTCCCTTGAGCCATTATGGTATCTGGCCTTTGATCTTTAGTGTTTGAGTGGTTTTACATTTGTGAGTGTTTATTGTGCTGATCCGTGTGTAAGTCTGTTTTAAGTACTTCTTGGACAGCTGGTCTTGTCTTGGTGAATTTCCTCAGTCTTTGCTAATCTGAGAATGTCTTTATGTCTCCTTTGTATATAAAACTTAGTTTTTCAGGATACAAGATGCTAGGCTGGGCAGTATTCTGTTTCAGAAGAGTGAGAATGGGGACCCAGTCTCTTCTTGCTTGTAGGGTTTCAGTTGAGAAGTCTGGAGTTATTCTGATGGGCTTTCCTTTGTATGTTATTTTTTTCTTTCACCTTAGAGCTCAGAGAAGGGCCTCTTTAGTGGATATTTTGGTCAGTCTGATAACTGCATGCCGTGGTGTCTTCCTATTTGCGTTGACTCTCCCAGGGGTCCTTTGAGGTTCTTGTACCTGGATATCTAGACTTTTAGCAAGGCCTGGGAAATTTTCCTCTATTATATCTTCAAATACCTTATCCAACCTTTCCATTTTTTTTCTCCATCCTCAGGGATGGCCATAACTCTCACGTTAGGCTTCTTCACATAATCCCACATTTCTTGTAGGCTTTGCTCTTTTCTCTTCTTTCTCTGCTCTATCTCTGTGACTAACTTATTTAATTGAAAGGTGTTATCTTCAATCCCTGAGATTCTTTCTTCTGTTTGATCTACCGTGTTCTTGAGGCATTCCACTGTGTTTTGTAGTTCCTTGAATAAATTCTTCATTTCTAGGAGTTCAGTTTGATTTTTCTTTGATATTTCAATTTCTTTATTGAATTTTCTTCCAAGTCCTGGATTTTTTTTTGATTTCTTTGTGTTGGTCATCCGTTTTTTCTTGCATATCATTGAGTTTTCTTACAATCCATGTTCCAAATTCTTCTTCTGTCACTTTAGTGTTCTGAATTTGGTTAACATTCATTGCTAGAGAGCTGGTGTTCCTCTTTTGGGTTGTGCTTTCCGTTTGATTCTTCATACTTCCAGAGTTCTTTCGCTGGTTCCTTCCCATGTGGACCAGTTGTTGCTTCTGGCCTTTAGATTTTTGTTTGGATAATGACACGCCCTATTTAGTCCCTTAGCCAGTAGGTGGTGTTTGTGGGTGAGATTTGATCACATCCTTTATGATGAGTCAGTAGATGCAGTAAGAGGGTTTGCAGAATGACCTCCCTGTTAGTAAGTGGTGCTTGCTGGGAGGAGCACATTACAGTGCTGTTTTGGGGTCCCATAACCAGCTCTTGTTTCTCTGGAGAGGCACTCTTGTGCCTTGGGGGGCAGTTGGGGCCCTGGGACTTCCAGGTGTGTCCTTATTCTCCAGGTAAGTGTGGGAAGGTCCAGGAGTGAGTCTGGGTGAAGCTGGTCTGGGTAAGCCTGCCCTCAAGTTCCACATATGGTGTTAGCAGGGGCAAATATCTGTTTCTCTGTTTCTGGGCAAAGCTGCCAAGGAGGGGCTGAAATGGCCTCACTCAACCAAAAAGTCTGTGTGTGGGAATGGTGTCGTCTGAGACCTGCAGTCAGGAAAAAGCCTTACTCCTTTCTATCCTCCCCTCTTCCGTGTTTTCTCCTGGGCCTCTACCAGCAGGTAGGACCTCAAGCCAGCGGATTTCCCCTGCTTGTGATTCGGGCTGGGAGGTTCCCTGCCCAGGATCGCAGCCTGGGCTGGCCACACGGCCTTCCTGTGGGAGGAGGGTTGCCCCTCAAGCCCGCTGATCTGCCCCTGAAGGCACACATACCTCAGTAGGCTCCTTCACAAATACCCTTTCTGTTCCCCAGGGCAATGCGATCAAGACCTGGTTGTATGGGGTCTGGTCTGAAGGCATGTTCCCTGGCCCTGGAGATCAATCTCTGACCCTGCCAGGGAGAGGAGTGCTGGTCTCGAGTCACCCACGGGGTGGCCCCTCTGGGTCCATGTCTCTCCACCTCGGGATTTGCGCCATTCTCCTGGAGTCACCAGGCTAGCAGCACCTGGGAGGGCTGGTGGGTAGGAAGCTGACAGTCTGAGTACCCTTCAGTCTGCCATAGGGCCCCAAAAGGAAACGTCCCATTCCTTGGAGATGCCTCCGCGTGATGGCTAAATTGTCTCTCTGGGCAACCACGGGTAGGGAATGGGAAGGAGAGAATGAAGCAATATGGCATCTGCCGATCGGCTCGGATCTGCGTCCAGGAAGGTGTCCTGAGGGATATGGGAGGCTTTTACTCTTTCCTAAAAAGGCTTGCCGCTCACTTTTGGCAGCGTCTCTGGGCTGGTGTTGGCAGGTCTCTCCAACCGCTCAGGAGCCCACCAGCAATCCAAGATGCAAGGGAGGGGACAGTTAATTGCTCCACCTACCCTTGTCGCTGGTCTGCAAGCCTCTCAGGGGCCTTTCTCCTTCCAGTTCTCCTCTGCAACTTCTTCTAGTTGAGTTTCCTGTACTTTGAGGCACCCTTCCTTCTGACCCCCATCCAATCTATGTTTGTCTGATTGCTTATATTTTTTTTCAGCATATTATGGCGGTACAGATGTTTAGGTTACGTATGTTGCCCTTGCTCCCCTTCCCTCCCAAGTCTAAGTTTCAAGTGTGTCCAGCCCTCGGATGGTGCCCGTTGCACTCTTTGTGTATGCATATACCCGTCCCCTCCACCCCCTTCCCCCTCCCCTCTGCCTGACATCCAATAGATGTCATTCGTATATGTGCACTTCTGTGTTGATCAGTTAATAGCAATTTGATGGTGACTGTTGATGTGAATGCGGAGAGATAGGAACACTTATACACTGCTGGTGGGACTGCAAACTAGTGTTTATATTTTTTGACTTTCTTACAAAATCTATCTTTTTTGCAGAGACACTCTGGCTGGTGGTTTTTCTCATCCACCATTTTGAATTCCTTATGCTGCCCTTTTAAAACAAATAATAAAGTTTCTCTAGTTGACTAGCTTGAAACTATTCCTACTGCATATTAAGTTTAACAATATTAAACTCATGAAGAACAGGAGATGTAGCTATAGTTCTTGACCAGGTGTGTGTCCAATTCCCATGTGGGACTCTCACAAATGTGGATTCCCAGCAAGTCTTACTGGGGGGGGTCTGATCTGAAAGGTTGGGATGGGGTCCCCAGGGAGTACTTGCGTCAAACCCCACAGGGGACTCCAATGTTCTCCTCCCTTGGGGAACCATGGAGAGAGGAATATCTCAACGAAGATCTACCAACACTTAACAATGGTTATCTCTAGAGTGAGGGATTAAGAAGAAATTTTGCATCTTATGATATACATTTTTGCATTGTTTGCAAGAAGTTAGGTATTCCATTTATCATCAGATAAAGAAATAGAAATACGCTCCAAAATAAATACTCCTAAGTGATTGACAGGTTCATCTTGTGTGACCATCAGTTTATCAAGGCTGACACAGTGAGGGAGATGAGGAAAGGGGAGGAAGCAGAGAACAGAAGGCAAAAAGCAAAGGAACAGGCTGAGGTAGACAATGAGAGGCGCAGAGAGATATTAAGAAAGGGAGACAGAGAGATAAAGAAAGCAAGAGGGGAGACAGTCAGGGAGGTGTGGCAGAGACCAAGGATAAGGGAGCAAGAAGCAGAAAGAGATAACATAGGAGAAGAGATCAAAGGAGACATGGGGTCAGTGAGTGAGGGGATGAGAGAGAGAAGGAGACAGAAACAGACACAGAGACTGAGATGTTCTCCACGGAGGATTTGGGATGTGGGAGTGATGCCTTCTCCCTGTCACATGCCGCAGGCTGACCTCACTGCCCCTCTTTCTTGCAGCTGTTTGAACTCTTCTCGGACTTCATGAAGTTCTTTCCTGGCCCACACAGGCAGATCTGCAAAAACGCGCAGGAAATCAATGCCTTCGTTGGCTGCAGTGTGGAGAAGCACCGGGAAACACTGGATCCCAGTGCCCCCCGGGACCTCATAGATGCCTACCTGCTGCGCATGGAAAAAGTGGGGTGTGGGAGATGTAAAGGGGAGGGAAGGGGAGGGAGGACAAGATTGGGAGGGAAGAAGAAAGGAGGGAAACAGGGAAAGGAAAGGGAGGAGGGATGCAGAGAAGAAGGGGGGTGTAGGAAAAAGGAGGGAAGGAGATGCAGAAGGCAAGAAAGATGAAGTGAAAGGAAGGAGAAAATAGGGAGGAGAAAGTGAACAGGGAGAGAGAGAGAGAGAGAGAGTGAGATAAAGGTGTGGAAGAAATTTGGGGCAAGAGATAAAATTACAGCAACAGGAGAAACAACCCCCAGAGGCAGAAGGAGACTGGGAGAAAAAAGAGAGAGACACACAAGAGATGGGGAGAGAGATGGAAACAGAGCCAAAGAGAGGCTGAGTGAGACAGAGCTGGACATGCAGGTTGGACATGCAGGGGACAGAGAAAAGCAAAGGTGGCCCGACAGGGTGAGGGACCCTGAAACAGATGGAGGGTACTGAGAGACACTGCCATGTGCACAGTGAAGCCACAGCTTCCCCTGACCCTCCCCTCATCTCTGCTCTGCACCCAGGAGAAATCCAACCCACACAGTGAGTTCAACCAGAAGAACCTCATCCTCAACACATTCTCGCTCTTTTTTGCTGGCACTGAGACCACCAGTACTACCCTCCGCTACGGCTTCCTGCTCATGCTCAAACACCCTCATGTCGCAGGTGGGCCAGGGACAGCTAAGTAGGGCATCTTCGGACTCCCTCTGAGCTGCAGAAGTGGGGCATGTTGTCCTCCCTGGATGAGAGAGGAGACATTGGCTTGTTATTGCAGAAGCACTGCAGGCTTTGGACCAGCCTCCAACTAAACCATATCTTTTTTTTCTTAATTTCAAAAGATTGTATTATGTGCTATAAATGTTTTATGTTCCATAGATGGCCTTGGCAATGCTTGAGTCCCGGCTGTAGGTGTGCCTGTCACCCAAATAGTGTTCATTGTACCCATTAGGTGGGGTTCTGCCCCTCCTCTCCTCCACTCCTCCCTTCCCCCTCCCCCTGGTTGATCTCTACTGAGTTTTACTTCCCTCTGTGCGTATGTGCGCTCATGGGTTAGTTCGACTTTAATAGCGAGTACATGTGGTGGTTTATTTTTCCATTCTTGAGATACTTCATTTAGGAGAACAGTCTCCAGTTCCATTCAGTGTTTTTATGGTGGACGCGTGGATGCATGCAGAATCTGTTGAATGGTTCTCCCACTGTTTTCCCCCATCACTTAAAGACTAGTTTTGAGGGGCGAGGGCATTCTAAATTTTTTTTCATTTGTACAAATTTCTGGGGTATATGTGCAATTTTGTTACTTGCATATACTGTGTAGTGGTCATGTCAGAATTTTCAGGGTATCCATGATCCAAATAATGTACATTGTACCCATTAATTTCTCATCATCCCCGTCACTCACCCTTCCAAGTCTCCACTGTGGATCACTGCACTCTCTTTGTCCATGTGTACAGGTTTCTTAGCACCCATGTGTGGGTGGGAACATGGGATATTTGACTTTCTGTGTCATCACTTAAGGATTTACCTATTAATCCATCCATCATTTCATCTGTCCTTAATTCACCTGCGTACTCACCGATTCTTTCGTCTGTGACTCATCCAAGGAAATACGCTTTCATCATTTATTTTTTTGAATTAATTGATCCGTGAGTTGATCCTTTGCAACAGTGATATGTTGAGTGGACTGTTTGTCATTAATTCACTGGCTCATTCGTTTATGCATGCATCCATCCATCCTTTTATAAATTAGGTTTCATTCCTTAATCCTTCCATCAATCAGTTTTTCAATTCATTCTGTATCCATCTATCCCTTCCTTAATTTATCCACTAAATAAGTCACTGATTTATTCATTCCTTATCTATTTATCATTCAGTCTGTCCATTCATTTCTTTACTCATACTTCATTAATTTTTTCAATCCCTTATCTCACCATTCATATGATTGTTGATTAATTATAATAGATTCATTGATGTATTTATGGACCATCTATTAGCTAGTGATTTGGTAATGGATCCATCTATTGATTCATAAGTGAATGCACACATCCATTTGTTGGTTTATTCATTCATTCATCCATTTTTCCATTCATGAATTGATCTTGTCATTGATTGATTGATGTTGTCATTCATTTATCCAGTTGTTCATGCATTAATCTATTGATTTCACTCTTATGTTCTTGAGAACCTAACACAATGCCCCACTTATAATACACAAACAATAACTCTTAGGTTGTTTTCTACTCAGAGAGAGAGTTTCAGCACGTTTGTAGCCTAGAATTCTTAATCTGAAATTCCATGTAAAATTGTGGGTGTGTGTGTGTGTGTGCGTGTGTGTGTGTGTGTGTACCTGTGCATGTGCGGATAGAATCTATAACATTCATTATGTGCAGAAGGGTAAGACTTCTTTTTGCTTCGTCCCTTCGTCCCTCACCCCAAGCTGATTGTGTTGATGTGTATCAATGATTTAACACTTTGGCATAGGATTTTCCTGGCTCATTGGCCCATAGAAATCAGGAGATGTTTCTTTGAAATGGGGTTCACTGGTCCCCTTTTCTGTGCAGAGAGAGTCCACAAGGAGATTGAACAGGTGATTGGCAAACATCGCCCTCCAGCCCTCGAAGACCGGGTCAAAATGCCATACACGGACGCTGTCATCCATGAGATTCAGAGATTCGCAGACCTTCTTCCCCTTGGTTTGCCCCACATGGTCACCAAAGACACCCACTTCCGAGGGTACATCATCCCCAAGGTGAGACCGGCGGGGCTCTTGCATCTCTCCTGTGTGGGCATCCTGGGTTCTCTTCATCACAAAACTCAACTTTTTGTAGCTTTCTCAATAGGGTCCCCTTGTATTTGGTTTTCTTTTGTGGGTTTTTTCTTGTTTGTTGGCCAGGGAATGGGAATATCTTTTGATCTTGTGACCCTCCCTCAGGACACTGAAGTATTTCCCATCCTGAACTCTGCTCTCCGTGACCCACGTTACTTTGAAAAACCAGATGCCTTCAACCCTGACCACTTTCTGGATGCCAATGGGGCACTGAAGAAGAATGAAGCTTTTATTCCCTTTTCCTTAGGTAAGCTGCACCCGAGATCCCTTTCCCAGACACCAGAGTGCGGGTTCCAACTCCTCCTGACAAAAACAATGATAAGTCCTTGTTTATTGAGCACTTACTATATTCTAATTTGCTTATCTGTGTGATCTCATTCCATCTTTACTACTACTCTATGAAGGGGCTTCAGGAGTGAGATTATGCCCCAAGGGCACATGTTGGCAAGCGGGACCTTGGGAAAGTATTTTAATCTCTCTAAACTTCAGTCAATTCATTTTCTTCAATAAAAAAATCTATTGAGCACTACTTTGAGTCCAGTGCTCTGCTAGGGGCTGAAGATAATGTATCAAACAAATCATACAGAAATGTAGCTCCAGCCCCAGGAAATTTCAGATGAGATGGGCACCCATCAAATAGTAACAAAATAATAATATGAGTAAATGAAGTGATGCATTTAACATGGTTAGAACTGCCTGGCACAAAAATAAATGCTCATAGGGGCAGCTATTACTATAATTAATCATAATCATGATAAGTGCTCTAAAGGGGATTTGGGGAGCACAAAATAGGAAACACTGACTAATCTTGGTGGGTCTATGAGGAAGAGCTTTCCTGAGGAGCTGTCTTCCAAGCTGAGCTGCTCATAGGTAGGTACCAATTAGTCAACAGAAAGAGTGTTCTAGAAAGAGCAAACAGCAAGGGCAAAGCCTGAAGGTAGAAACCTGATGACACATTTGAGAAACTATAAGAAGGCCAAGGGAGACTTGGGTGTAGTTTCCAGAAGGAAATAAATAAGGCGAAGAGGTCAGCTGGGCAGGGCTTTGAAGGCTGGGGGAGGAGTTTGGATTAATCCTCCAGCACTGGGGAGGTGGGCAAGGTCTTGACACGCTCTGACCTGGTGCAGTTCCCATTGTCCACTCTCTGGCTTCTTAAGAGAACAACTTTAGACACATTAAATTTACAAGAGTCTATTTGAACAAAGAAATGATTCATCAATTGGGCAGCACCATGAACCAGTAAAAGTTTGCAAAGATGTAACCAGCCACGTGGGCAAGCAGTATTTATCCACGGAAGAAGGAAGTGGCCCATGGACACAGCCTGATGGGTTAGGGCTCAGAGTTTGCCTTGTTTGGACCTGTCTGAGCGATTTGAAGGCTATGATTGGCTGAATCTCGGCCAGTATGATTGGCCAAGGATCAGTTACCTGTTACGATATACTCTCAAGTTAGATTGTAGTTTGTTTACATATTAAGTTAGGTTACACTTTGTTATGTATAGAGGCAGCTTCAGGCCAAATTTTAATTTAACAGGCTCCATTAGATTGTAGTTTGTTTACATACTAAGTTAGGTTGGGAAACACTGAAGCAAAGGGAGAGGCTCTCCTGTGTCTGTGCCTCAGGCTTTCCAGCCCCTTCTGTCCTCATTTCTCTCCAAGACTGTAGTTTATATGCTACTGGGGGTTCATTACACCTCTGGCAGTGATGAGAACCATAGACCTCCCCACCCCCACTGCCGTGTACACCAATCCCGTTCCCAATCTATATATAATTTGGATATTTTGGGGGAAATCTTGAAGCCTGTGGATCTCAGGCTGAGGTAAGAAGACAGCCCAGAGATAGACACACACACACACAGTGCCAGAAACAGACAGCCCACACATGCTCCTGGAAACAAACACAACACAGTAACTACACATTGAGGTTTCTTAATTCAATCCGGCTGTTATTCTAAGAAGTTTTGTAGACATTTACTTTAACCTCACAGGAGCCCTCATAGATAGATACCATTCTCCCCACATGAGAAATGAAGAACGCTAAAAATGTAAAGTCAGAAATATGCTCACACCTACATAGGTAGAGGTAAAACACACACAAACTCTCTCCTAGAGAAATGAACGTGGCTTATCATCCCAATGATTTGCACCCAGTTTCAGAGGGTTTGGGAACCACCTAAAAGTTCACCCTGAATTTCAGGTTAAAGGTCAATCTCATGCAAATCTGTTGCAATGGACACAAGCGTCAGGGCTTACGAGTGCGGCAGGGCAAAGAACGTCCACCCGCCCTGTACCCACACTGGTGATCTTCCTTCTGTGCCCACAGGGAAGCGCATTTGTCTTGGTGAAGGCATCGCCAAGGCCGAATTGTTCCTCTTCTTCACCACCATCCTCCAGAACTTCTCCCTGGCCAGCCCCGTGGCACCTGAGGACATCGACCTCACACCCCAGGAGAATGGTGTGGGCAAACTACCCCAACAATACCAGATCCGTTTTTTGCCTCGCCAAAGGGGCTGAGGGAAGGGGGCCAAAAGATTCCAGGGTCATTAAGTGTCTCCACCTCCAAAGACAATGGCCCTGACTCCCTCCACAGCTCCCTGCCTCTGAGAGACCTGCTGTGAGCCCGTGTCCTTCCCCCTCCACAGCATCTTCTGTCTGAGCTCACCTCGCTAAGAGTGGAGGAGCAAGATTCACACTCAGGCTCTAGAACCCAAACTCTTGATCACAGCTCCCTCTTTTTCATACACATATTTTTAAATTAAGAGCAAATTCACATAAGATAAAATAAACCATTTACAATGTGAGACGTAGTGGCAATGTTCATTCACAATGTTGTCCAACCAGCAGCACGTAGTTCCAAACATTCTTAGCATCTGCCCCGGATGATCAAACTACAACCCAGGCCTATTAAGCAGTCACACCCATTACCTATTCCCCACTGGCCCCCAGAAAACTCCAATCTGCTTTCTGTTTCTGTGGACTTAACTATTCTGGATATTTCCTGTAAATGGAATGATGCTATATGTGATGTTTTGTGTCTGTTCTCTCACTTCGAGCAATATTTTCGAGCTCATCCATGTTGGG